GTTCTTCTGAAACAGAAGGTAGGCACAATCTCAGACTGATAAAGTGGCAACAAGAGAACACTGTACAGTATTTAAACATTATTAGTCAAATCACAAAATGATCGGTATTTCCTCAGATCTCATCATTTAAATTCCAGTGATTGCTGTCAAGGCATGGTGGTGAATTATGTACAGTAACAACACTAGTTTATGCAATACTCTAGCAATAAATCTACTAACAAATTTTTGACATTTTTGACTGAAATGTTTTAATGTACAGTAGCTTAAATATAGAAGAAAACCTTATAATTGCAGACATATGCTTTTGTTCCATTTCAGATTTTTACAGATATTTTATCTACCATCTTTACACTCTGTAGATAGACGTGGTGTAGGCATAATGTACAATGATAGTCTCCATGTGATAACCCTATTTTCTATGTACGATTGGATGGTTTATATGATTCTTAAATGTTTAATTATTTTATATCATTGTCAGATGAGTTAAGTGTGCTTAAATTTATTGTCTCAAACTGGTATGATGGCCTTAGTAGTCTTGGTATGCTGAAAGTATTGTTCAGAGATATGGTGAATTTCATGACATTATCTCAGGCAAACAGCATGATGGATTTGCTGAATACATTACATGGTCAACTGGATTTTGGACTCATCTGTGATACTATTAGAGTAACTAAACAGTTTGGTCTTCAACGGGAGATTAAAAGAAGACTGCCATCATTCCCGGAAGTTAAGGAAGGATCCATTTCAAAAACATTTACATCCCACAGACAAAAGCTAATGAAATTTGGTACACAACTGACCAGAGACAATGTGAGGCAGCTCGATGCATTATATAATTCCCCTGCTAAGAGGTATACCGACAGCTGGAGTATGATCAGTGATCTAGAAGACAGAGAGATAATCAATGAAAGTAATATGGAGCCTTTCATTGATTCCTTGAAACACCATAAACTCACTGAGGCTTGTGAAGTACTAACAGAAGGTATTCCTCATTGTTTGAAATAAGAACAGATTATATGTCAACCATTTTACATATACACATTTTATTAATCTGTAATTTCCACAAATTATTGAAAATCAAAGTCAACAAAATCTTTAAAATGTATTCTCAAATTAAACTATAAAGCAAGATAAAGAAGAAATATTTCCTATAAATTAATGTATACTTGACAATGACCTATACCATCTTAAATGCATTTCTTTCTTTATATGACACATAAAAGTAGAAATATGAAGTGGCTATGCTTACGCCAAGATGTAGTGCATTAAGATAGCGAGAGTTAGTTTTACAGTTATGGTAAAACCCGACCAATCAGTTTGTTGGGATTTTAATAACTTTGGCGTAAGCTTAGCCACAGCAATAAAAATAATAGCCTACAGTTAAAATCATTTTACGACTGGTGTAACAATAGCTACAAAGTTATTTACATTGCTGTCACAGGATTAAAATAATTTTTAAAAAATAACATACTAAACAGTAATCCACATTAGAAATGTGATGTATAATTTGATGGAGGCCTAAATTATAGACTTCCTTTAGCTTGTGTCCTTACCATTATTATTATTATTATTGATAATATTTTTTAATATTTTATATTATTTATTTGTATTCAATTTTTAAGAATATATTTTATTTATTATTCTGCTTTCTGGGTTTGATGAGTTATAGATAAATTCCATCATAGACAATTTTTATGCTTCAGCTTTATATTGGCAAATCCCCCCCCCCCCAACCACTAGCTAGGCCTGCTCTCAGTTTCTGTGTGGCTATTTTTTTTCGGATTGTCAATAATGGATGTACTGTATACAACGAAGAGCATATGTACACTATCATTTTTAAGCGTACAGCACTACCTTTTTTCAAGACAATGAAGGCTTTTTCTCTACTACTTTGACTATTATTAGTAGCAAGCCAGGGAGGCCTAGCCTAGGTTGCGTGTTTTTTTTTTGGTTTTTTTTTTTGTCAATGCATATGTACATATGTGCTATAAGTTAATTTCAATGCTCCCTGACGGATAGGATGCACTGTAGGCCTTCGATAGCCAAGGCTTTTTGACCGGAATTGTCATTATTTTCAATTTTCATAGCCATGCATGATCACCTAGGTTGTGTCGCTATTTTTAGTTCCTATGCATGTAATGCAATAGGAACTATTGTAATCACTCTTGCTATTTCCTA